ACAGAAAAAAAAAATTATTATTTATGGAAAATTTTGGGAAGGATGATCGGATACGGTGGGAAGGACGAAAGGATACCGAGGGAAGATGTTTAGTACGAGTTGAACGAAACACTCTTTCATTAAAACCTTATTTGCTACATCCCACAAGTACTAAGAGCGTTGTAGCCTAGGTTTTCCAGGATAAAACGTACTATGATTCAATTGTTTGAGCACCCAAACAATAAACCCAGCGAACTAGAGCAAAGTTTAGAACACAGTAGCAAGAAAGGAGTAGAAGCAGAAATTTTGAGAGTGATAGTTCTAAAAATTTGCTCTATCCACAGTTTATATAAGGGTTGCAGTAGTGATTAAATTTCAAAGTTTAAAATTGGAATTAATTTCGTAACTGGTGAATTTAATCCCAAAATGGTTAGAACCATTAGCACCCCATATGTGTAAGAGAAAACCTCTATACTATACAATTCAATAAGCATTGGAAAGACTCTTGTATAAATAGTGGTTCAAATCCACTTCCCAAACCAATGTGGGACAAAAGCTTCATTTTTCCATTCATTTTTCCAACTCAAATGGGTCTACTTTGAGAATTAATATCTCATTCATCCATTATCCGTTTTGAGCGTACAATATATCAATATATCTGTGTTTATGTGTCTTCTGTTAAGAGTTTATGTGTATTCCGTTGAGAGTTTCTGTGTATTCCGTTGAGAGTTTTTGTGTATTATGTTGTGAGTTTATGTGTATTATGTTAAGAGTTTATGTTTATTATGTTAAGAGTTTATATGTGTATTATGTTAATAGTTTATTTGTATTATGTATTATGTGCAGATTATGTGTATTATATTAGGAATTTATGTGTATTCCACTATACAATTCTGTATATCTGAAACAAAGATTTTTTTATCTTTATTTTTAGAAATTAACGGTAAAAACAAGAAACAACATCGTTTTCATCCAGATGCATAATACATTCTGCGCCCTATGCACGATATAATTTACCAAATATGTTTAATTGGGCTTTTACTCTAGACATTTTGCCCAGAGCACAATGATATTGGGCTATCAGTATGAATTATTCATTTTGGGCTCAATATGGGGAAATTCGACGTCCCATACCGCTGCAATTCAGAACCGCAGATTCGCAGAATATGCCCATACAACCCAAAAGAACAAAAATACAAAACTTTAAAAGGAAAGTTAGATATATCAATTAAGGATCATACCATTCATACTTCTGTGAAACCTACGCAAATTATGCTGTGCAACCGAATGCACCTTGCAAGGTGCATACGGTTGCAAAACGGCGCCGTTTTGGTTAAAAAAATGCGCGTCCCACTTAAAGAAGAAATCAAGTTCGATTCCCGGTAATAGCATTTTTATATATCCACAAATTCATAACTATATATCCACAGTGAATGAATAAAGTAAAAATCTACGATGAATGAATGAATGAAGTAAAAATCCACAATGAATGAATGAATGAAGTAAAAATTCACAATGAATGAACTAAATATCCACAATGATTGAACTAAATATCCACAATGAATGAACTAAATATCCATAAATTCATAACTATATATCCACAGTGAATGAATGAAGTAAATATCTACAATGAATGAACTAAATATCCACAATGAATGAACTAAATATCCATAAATTCATAACTATATATCCACAAATTTATAACTATATATCAAGAAATTCATAACTATATATCCACAATAATTCTATTGCCGAGAATCGAACCTGAATTTTTTTTTTTTTAAGTGGGACGCGCGTTTTTAGTCAAAACGACGTCGTTTTGCGTCGTATGCACCATGCGCATGGTACATTCGGTTGCACGGCATAACTATTGTGGAACCTACTCACGGATCATTATTCATGAGATGGGTCAAATCAATCCGAATCAATGTAAAAATGCAACACTTAAATAGACAAAGTAATACTAATGACGAATAAGTAATGTTGGCAAATATTTGTTATTTATAAAAGAAAGTGTAATGTTTTTTGAGTAAAAATGTACTCTGTAATACTTTTAAATCAAAATATAAAGGGAAAATGACACTTTTTCTCCCTGAGTTATATACCTATAGCATATTTTTCCCCTAAATTATTGAAGTGGTTGTTTTTCCCCCTGAAATGTTAAATGGACATATTTAACCTTAAACTAAATATTTAATTTATTTTTTTTCTCCAACAAATTATGACCATAATTTGGTTCAAACCAAACAAACACTATAGCAACCAAACCGAAATATTCCAATTACAATTTAGAATAGAAATTCGATATTTAGAGTTTATTAAAATCGTGAACCGGAATGGACGGTTCATGTTCCGAACTGAAAAAATAAAATACATTTATTGTTGAATTTAGACTATTTTAAAATAAAGACGGTTCAAAATCGCGAATCGGATCCGGAACCGCTGGTTCACGGTTCAAGATTCAATTTTTTTTATACATAATTTTAATAAATTGACATTTAAATATTGGGTTCTAGATCTGAATTATAACCGGAAACTATTAATTCGATTGCTTTAGTATCCAGTTCAATTCAAACCGAACCGTGGTCATCCCTACGTATACGCAATAATTTGTTGGAGTAGTAAAATAAATAAAATGTTTACTCTAAGGGTATAAATGTCAATTTAATATATTAGGGAAAAAAAGCACCACTTTTAGAATAATTGAAGGGGCTAATGTGCTTACCTAAATAATTGAGGGGGAAAAAGTGTTATAAGTATATAACTCAGGGTAAAAAGTGCATTTTTCCCAAATATAAAAATATTATATTCCTCTTCAAAAAATTCTATACTTTCTCATACAAGTAATAACACTTTATTTCTATTTCTGATTAGTATTCTATTTTTAAGTATAAATAATACATTTTCGATGAATGATGAGCACGAAACAATATATTTTTTTTTTTATATTAATGTAGCAGTAACAGTAAATATTCAGATTTGAATGTATTTGAAATATTGTAAGGTGGCAATAAATCTGGTCAGGAGAAATGTGTGTCCTCTCACACCATTCTGCACCTCCTCTTGGCTCTTCATATTTTCCCAATTTACCAACCCCCATAAATAGTTTTTTTTTTTTTGGTTCATTATGATTTTGTATCAACTTAATTGCAATTTTTGTGTGTGTGTGTGTTTGGAAAGGAAATAATCTAAATTATTGAACTAGAACTTTACAAATATAATAATTTATACTGTAGTTTAAAAATAAGTAACACTTTTATTTCAATATAGTTATATATCATGTTTCGTTCCCATAATTAAGGGTGACATGTAACATTTTTAAAAAGGAAATCATAATTTAGTATATTCATTAATGAAATAGAAATAGGGTGCAATAAACATTTGACATAAATAGCATCACTATTGTGTATGATGCTTTTGTATGGAGTTATTATATGGCGATCAAAGTCTCAAATTAGCCCGATAAGTAAAATAATGTACACATTCTCTCAATTCTAAAGTTTAATTTGTCAGAGGCAATCCTAATTGAGTTGGTTGGATAATTAATTTAGTAATCACAATGTTCAAAGTTCCATTTTTTTGTGGGAGCTATTCATTGACCCTCTTCGTTGAGCAGTATGAGTAACTTAAAGCTTAACCTCATTCAACCTTCCACTCCCTAATATTATGACAAATAGTTTCCATGAATGGTTTAATGCAATCTTGAATGTCCTAGACACTAATGGAATTATTTACACAGCTGCACTTTTATATCATATTTGGAGAGCACGGAATAGAGCTGTTTGGGATGCCTGTCTACCAAGGCCGAAGAATGTAATTGCGGCGACCACTACCACCATGCATGCATGGCAGAATGTCCACCGCCGAACCACCACCCAACCGCTCGACAGTCAAGCTACTGCCGAACGATCACGCTCCAACGCCCCACTTTGCCGATCAGCCGCCGTATCCACCGCCGCTACAGTCGGGTTGCCATATCGCAACGACAAGGCGGAGAAAGTGCTATGTGGATGCCGGGTATCACCAAGGGACGAACTCGGCCACGGTCGGAGTAGTCCTCCTTGATGCCGGCGATCGATTTATTTCAGCCTTCAGTGCAACCATCTTGAGTTGTTTATCCCCGCTTATGACCGAGGCGTTTGCATGTAAATAGGCCCTATCTTGGCTAAGGGCACGAGGTGAACAATCTATACAACTTCATATGGATTGTCAAACGTTACAGTGCTACTTATCTGCACCAGACAACCCATCTCGATCATACATTAGCTATGCTATTGATAGTTGCAGAATTTACATGTATGCTTTTACTTCCTGCTTAGTTATTTTTGTTCCTAGATTACAGAATTTATTAACGCTTACTTTAGCTATTGCATTATTTACTCTTACTTCGACTATGTATTGGGACGATGTCCCACCTGAATCTATTTTGGTTTATCTATAAATACAACCACATTGACTTTCAAAAAAAAAAAGCTTAACCTCATTATGGCGATTACAAACTTTCATGTAAAATTAATCCATATTACTCGGTATTATTAATTCTGGTAGTATTTAATTGCCACAACTGTAAAATTTTAATGTATATTACTCCGTATTATTAATTTTCCCTCTCAAAATAAAATTTAAAACGCGAAGAACGGAGAAAATTGCGTGCGTTAATAAATAAATATAATAAATATAAATATAAATAAAATTCTCAAAATAAATAAAAACGGAACCGAATCTGTCTGCCGCCATCCACGCCGTAGGATTGGATCCCACGTCAGAAATTCCACATCGGATGCGTTTCTGTGACAAATCAGTTGTCCAATCCCAGTTTGCCGCGTAAGCACACGTAGACCAATGAAGTCGCACGTGTGCCGAACCCGGGCCCACGCGCCATTGGGGATCCAAAGAAATAGGCGGTCGTAGTACTCAACGACTGTAGCTAAAATTTTTGGCATTCTGGCGGGATTTTACAACAATTTCAAATCCATTTTCCATTTTTCTATTAATTTTTTATTATTTTTATTTTCATTTTCACCAACTGCAAAACCCTAGGCCCCGCCTCTCTCTCATCATTTCCCTCCCTCTCCGAGTCCCTGGCTGCTCTCTCTCTCTCCTGCTGAGGATTTTCTCTCTGTTATACTTTTGCTAATCATGAGATTGCTGATTTTCAGGTTCGTAAATCCTCCGTTTTGAATGATATTTGATTATTTAGTTTGTTGTCGTGATTAGTGATTATTCGTCTGTTGTTATGTAAATGTTCTGATTTCGTGTCATTTTGGCTACTGTTCTGTAAATCTCTGTCTCCAGAACGGCATGAGCTTTTGAATCAATTCGTTTGCTGTAATTGAAAGTTTTTTGTTTTTTTTTTTTGTTTTTTTTTTTAAAAAACTAGCTGACCGGAGCATATTTATTGTGTTTGTGTAGTTTCTGGTGAATAACTGTCTTGCTATTTAGAGAGAGCGTTTTTGTGATGTTTTCCTGATTAGGTATGTATTTTGTGATTTTATTATGATCGGGTTAAACGGCAGCTATGTTTTGTGTTGATTTCAGATTTTGAAACGATAGGATACTGAAAGCTGGGATTATTTGAGGACGGAAGGGTTTGTGAGCAACGAAATAGAATAATGTCTCCCAGAGATAAGCAATCAAGAATCCATAAACAGAAAAGGCGGACAAGGAGTTCGAAGAATAAGTATTTGAAACCAGGTGCTCTTGCTCAGCTTCGGTATAGTAAGGCGTCAGCTGCCAAGTCCTGTACGGATCTTGGAAAGAAAAGGATTGCTGTGATGGATGCAGATGAGCCGAGTGTTGATGCTGAACTTGAAAGTGAAATTATTGCTAAAAGTCCCCTGATTTTATCTCCCGTTGGGTTTAGATTTGGTTCTGTGTGTTCACCATTTGATATGTCAAAGGTGAATAATTTGCAAAAGACTCCAAAGACACCTGGGGCTGAAGTTTTCGAGTCAGAGTCTCAACTTGAATCTCTCCCAATGGATTTGCTGGTATGCAGAATTGCAGATTTCTTATTTTCTGCTGTTGCTCTGTCAATCTATATATCATTCTTGGTACCTTGTTTCTTGCTACTTAACATGATTTTGTTCTTGATTTTGCTTGGTACTTAATGGTAGCTCACATTTGAGTAGGCTTTTACTGGAATATAGATGCTCTGTAGTTGGAGAAATATACCATCTTTAATTCCTGAGATGCTTTTGTATTTAACAAAAAGTACTCCACAATACTTTTGGCGATGTGGATATACATCCTTGAGCTGTTAAGACTCATCCATAACAATCTTTAACTATATGTACAAAAAAAGGATATTCTTTTGCTTTAGCTCTTATAGATTCTGCAAGGGAGACTCAATTGCAAATCTTTCATCATTTGTAATAAATTTTTATTTGTCTTTCTCAGCACCTAAATGATTTGTTATATGCTGTATAGCAAAAAGTGTTTTACAATAAGGTACATATAAAAATGGTGCATAGATCAGAAGTTGAAATTTGAAACTTGGTGATTTTCTATACTTGTGTGGTGGTTTGGATTCAATTGAGATCTTCAAATGTACTGATTCTTGTCTGTTTTGTGATTGAGGTGAAAATACTTTGCCACCTTCACCATGACCAACTCAAAGCTGTCTTCCATGTGTCCCAGAAGATCAGAAAGGCTGTGAGTTTATCTTCCCTACTCTTCTTTTTATGCCTGAGAAACAAAGAAACTAATGCTTGTACAACTGGATTTTAGGTGATTCAAGCAAGACAGTTCCATTTTAATTATACTACTCCAGATCGAACTCGTCAAGAGATGTTGAGGATCATGACTCCTCTTCCTACAGATCACTGGCCTTTTGTGAGGTAGGTATCTTGACCCTTTATGATCTACTACACTAGATTTCATATGGTTGATTAAATTGATTGTGTTGATCTCTTCTAATATGGTGGGTGGACTAACTTGCAGCAAGGGTGATGGGAAAGATTTGGTTCCCAGCCCACACACCCCCAAGGCACCCAGGCATGGTCCCCGCCCTCCTTCTCGTCTGAAGAACACTGAAATGCGGCAAATTGCAGCCGTTCTCTTCCAGGAATCAGCATTTCCTTCGAGGTGCTTGGTGCCATCTGTTCTGTCAAAGCCTTTATGCAAATCTCTAGGTTCCAACCGAGTTCTATTCTACGAAGATGAACTGTGCCAGGCCGTCGCACAGAATAAACTTCTTTGATTTTATTGCAGCGTCTTCCGTAGCTCCTTTGTGTGTGTATATATATGGTAGCACTAGTAGTGGAGGGGTTGCAGTTTTGTCAGGTTATGGGAGCACTTATTGGAGTTATGGTGATTGAAGATTGGGTTAATTAGAGGTTTAGGTCTTCTTAAGATTGTGAACCAATAATAATGGGTGGGGTCAGTCAGGTCTTGTGCATAGTTTTCCTGTACAACGGATTTTAAATTTAATAGCTATGTGGCGCAACATCTAGTTCGCCTGATTTGGAATTTCATCCAAATTTGCATTATTGATACTGAGTATTTCATTTTCTTGAAACTTGAATAATGATGAGAGGATATGATTTAATGTGCTGAAAAAATATGTATTACACTAATAGTAGTAGTAGAATTGTCCAGTGATTCAGGTGTTGACTCATCCACAAGTCATTATTCGACGACACAAACCATGAAAATTAAGAACCAATTTCTACTTAACATGTTTGAGATTGATTCTCTCGTTTTTCTTAATCTGCTTAGGATGATACTCAGATAGATCAATTCATGGCGTACTTTTGAGTCCAGCTACGAGCCATGGTTTCATACTTGGATCTGTCAGTCTTGTACATGTGAGCTATTTCTGGAACCAATGGATCATCTGGATTTGGATCTGTTAGCAGTGAACATATTGAAAGCAAAACCTGCATCCAAAAAAGAAGTTAATTTTCAATGGTTTTAAAGAATTGGAGCTGGGTTACCTATATAAAATATAAACGTCTGGTCTCACTATCAATTTAAATTTTTCTAGCGTGAGGAGTAGTACCTTTGATATGGTGAGTGCTGGGCTCCATTGATCCTTTAGGATATCCAAGCAGATGTTTCCATTATTGTTTATATTTGGATGAAAAACTTTGGTCCTAAAGGCAACCTGCAAGTGTAAAAATATTTTAGCAAATCATATATACTCATCCAGCTTTTATTCTTTTTCTTCTCCATTTCTGGGTCATACATACCTTGGGAGGTTTGAAGGGGTAATCAGGGGGGAAATGAATGGTGACTTGGAAAACACCACCAGAATAGGGACTGTCATTTGGACCAATAATGGTTGCTTGCCAATGAAACATATCTTGAGCCACTGGTCCTGAAATTTTGTACTATATATTTCTCAAACTACTCACAAACAAAATTAATTATGAATAATCTGTATAAGAACTCGTAAACACTGAGACGTGTGACTGGTTCTAGCCTTGTAGAGATTCTATTCCTCGACCTCTTCACCCCGCCTCCCTGCCTACCTCTACTGTATTTCACTATTATTTCTATTCAACTCTGTCTCTTTTACTCTAAATTCTCGATCACCATATCCTAACATATTATTCGCCAGTTTCCTTTAACTTTAATCAATCATTCATAAACTTTTTTTTCTTTTTCTTTTTTTTTTTTTTTGGGGAAAAATCATAAACATGTTCTTTTTTGAATCAAACATGCATACCTGCACTGCATGATGTAGGAGGGTCTCTTTGCAGATCTCTAAGCTCCTTGAGAATCCTCCTGGAAGCCATTATTCCAGCTGGTGTGTGTGCTAAGCTGAGAGACTACCAAAAATTACAAAAAATTAAAAACAAACAATTTTTGTGGTGAAGGATATATAGATGTTTGTGTGATTTCTGGATATCTCAAGAGAGTGCTCCACACAACCATATATAAAGAGCTCTCATACACACCCAAAAAGAATCAACCATTCAATTCAACAATTTCTTTGATGCACTGCCCATGGCATAGTATAGATTCCCTACACAGAAAGAAAGAGGGAATGGACCCATTACTTTAATTTCAATCATGTAATTATTTATTTTATGGAAAAAAAAAATTCCTTTGGGATGATTTATATTCTTTTCAACCTTGTGAAAATCACACAAAGTTCTATATTCTCCACCTTAGCTTTTCAACCTTACTTCACTTTCATAAAAATAGAATTGTTTTGACAGGAATATATAACTTTATGGGATTTCCCATTCCTTCCGTTCAATTCTGGTCATGTTTAAGTACAGTGTAATTTGACATGTAATATGCCCATATTCAGAGGCCATTGATTTAGAATCGTCAATTTTGAAGTGAATTGAACCAGATATTTAGAATTTGGAATATGCCCATTTAACAATTTAAGATAGGAAGATATTAATTTGATAGGAGTAAATTTGTTCTGGAAGTGTGAAGGATTTGTAAAATATAAAATATCCAATCGCAAAACGTTAAGGAAGAACAATCAGCATAGGACAACTCAATTTACCGATCATTTTAAAAAGAGAAATTTAAAGTTAAAAAAGAAATATTTCTTGACTATTATTGATGTGATGAGAATATAGATTGTATTGTATTGAATACCAAAGTCTGAGGATACAAATATAAAGACACTAAATAGAGTTATAGTCTAATACGAATAGTATAGTCCTAATACTCCCCTTTAAGCATAAAGTTGGCTAGCCAAAACATTGAGTTTGTGACGGAATAAATTAAAACGTAAAGACGAAAGAGGTTTAGTAAAAATGTCAGCTATTTGATCTTTGGTTGAAATAAAATGAACTTGTAACCCCTTCTTTGCCACTTTATTACAAACAAAGTGGTAGTCGATCTCAATGTGTTTCGTGCGATCATGAAACACTGGATTAGCACATAAGTAAGTAGCTCCCAAGTTGTCACACCAGAGTTTCGGCACAGAATTGGGTGAGTGACCGATTTCCTTCATCAAGGAAACAAGCCAGGTGACTTCAGCAGAAACATCAGCTAATCCCTTGTACTCAGCTTCAGTCGAGGAGCGAGCCACAGTTCGTTGCTTCCGACACACCCAAGAAATAAGATTGCTCCCCAAAAATACAGCAAACCCGCTAGTGGACTTCCAATCATCCGGATTGCCAGCACAATCCGAATCAGAGTAAGCATGAATATCAAGCACTGTTGCAAAAATCGCGCCTAGGCGCCCGGCCTACGCGCTCGCCTAGGCGCCCGCCTAGGCGTTCTAGGCGCCCGCCTAAGCGCTCTAGGCGGTCCCCAGGCGCCTAGCGATTTTTTCAACATTGATATCAAGGCAGTTAGAACGAGATATACGAAGCCCAAAGTGTAGTGTTCCATTTACATACCGTAAAACCCTCTTCAAGGCAGCCTAGTCTGCAGTTGTGGGAGCATACATGTGTTGACACAAGCGATTAACAGCATAAGATAAATCATGGCAAGTTACCGTAAGATACTGTAAAGCACCTGCCAGACTTTTGTACAGAGTGGGATCGACATAGGGCACCACGACCTCGGTCATGGGTTTAGCATATGAAACCGGCGTGGCCACTGGTTTGCAGTCCACCATACCTGCTCGTTTGAGAATATCCCTCATATAGCGCTGTTGAGATAGAAGCATACCACTAGATAATGGAACAGTCTCAATGCCCAGAAAAAAGGAAGGCACCCCCATATCACTAATTTTAAATTCAAGTGCCAATTTATTTATAAGAGTAGCGACATGTTCTTAGTCAGATCCCATAATCAAGATGTCATCCACATAGACCAAAATATATAAACGAACATCGTCACGCGAATAGATAAACAAAGAGACATCAGTTTTAGAGGGCGAGAAGCCCACAGACACTAGATCTCTGAAGCAGGCACACATGATCAGTCAAGGACTTGTCCTCATACCCGGGCGATTGACGCATGTACACAGTCTCGGCCAGATTACCGTTTAGAAAAGCATTATGAATGTCCAGTTGGCGAATGGACCAACTACGAGATATAGCAATTGATAGAAGAAGACGTATCGTAGTCGGCTTAACCACCGGACTGAAGGTTTCAAAGAAATCCACCCTAGCAACCTGATTGAAACCTTTAGCAACCAGCCGAGTTTTATGGCGCTCAACCGTCCCATCAGCTTTCCTCTTAGTCCGGAAAACCCATTTGCAACCAACCACATTCATACCTGGGCGAAAAGGGACAAGCCTCCACATGTTATTGTGAATCAGGGCATTGAACTCCAAATCCATCGCGTCATGCAATTCAGGGAACTTGACCGCCTGAAAGTAACAAGTGGGTTTGGCAGCAGCGGTAGAAACCAATGCCACATGATCATAAGGTCCCATGCTTCATGTGGCCATAACGTGTGATCGAGGAAGCGAAGCAGCCGCCACTTGTCGAGGACGACCACGAGGCTTGTCGTGTTGCCAAGTCGGCTGGTCCGAGATGAACGGAACTGAAGTTTATTGCGATTATATGGACGTGAGACAAGAAAACATAAACAACCAAACACTCGCAAGTAAGAATAGGATGGGGGAGAGCGATGCAAACGAAAGTGCGATGACTCATCAGATAGGACACAAGTAGGCATTTTATTAATGAGATAGACAGTAGTCTCAAACGCGTAGTCCAAAAATGAGATGGAACAGACGCCTGAGCCATTAATGACAGACCTGTCTCAACTACATGACGATGCCTGCATTCCACCCTACCATTCTGCTCATGGGTATACGCATATGATTGCCTGTGACGAATACTCAGTGAAGCAAGAGTGGAACCAAGCTTCTTATATTCTCCCCCTAAATCAGACTGAAAAGAAATAATCTTGCGAGAAAAGGAACGTTCAACAACTGACCGAAACCTATCAAATATGCCATATAATTCAAATTTAGCACGCATTGGATAATACCACATATAACGTGTATAATCATCCACAAGCAACACAAAGTATTTAAAGTCATCCGCAGAAAGTAAAGGCGCAGAGCCCTAAATATCAGAATATATTAATTCCAAAGGATGCATACTAGTAGTTTCAATACGAGATAAAGGAAAACGAGAAGATTTTCTCAATTGACAAGATGAACAAACATTGGGAAGATCACTAGAATTAAATTTACTAACAGCCGAAAACTCTAAAATTTTACGTAAGACTCTAGAATGAGGATGTCCCAACCGCATGTGCCAAACGAAAGACGAGCGCGCAGCAACAAAAGCAGCAGGAGCAGAAGAAGACGCATGCCATGTATAAAGGCCTCCAGATGCATGCCCCTTAAAGAGGACTTTCTTGGTCAAAGTGTCCTTCACATAGAAACAAAGAGGGTGAAACTCAAAGAATACATTATTATCTTTGGCAAAACACTAAACATATAATAATGAATTAGAGAGACCAGGCACATGCAAAACATCACGTAACTTAAATGACCTAGAATGAGTAGCTAACGAAGCGGAACTAATGTTAACAATAGGCAAACCTGTACCACTGCCGACGCGAAGAATCTCAGGGCCATCATAGCTTGTTGCAGAAGTCATTAAGGAGGAATCAGGCGTAGCATGGTTTGTAGCACCAGTGTCAGGAAACCATTCATGAGGACCACTCGAGTCATCACCACCCGAGACAGCCACATTCGCCTGAGAGGCCGCAAAATGCTGCCAACACGATAGCGTAATGTGACCCTGTTTATTGCAGATCTGACACCGCGGCCCAGAACCGGAGCGCCCAAGACCACAACCCCGACCGCCTATTCCACGGCCACCGCCTCCTCGCGGCTGCTGTGCACCGCCATGACCATCGTGACCACCACGGTTCACGGCCAAGGTTGCTGGAGCACCAATGCCGACTCCATCATCCGCGCAGATCCACTCTTGCGAGACCAAGAAATCCGCCACTTCAGTAAGGGAAACCGGAGCGCCCCGCGTCAAAGTGGCCACCAACGGGCGGAACTCAGGTCATAAACCACGGAAGACATATAAGTTTTGGTCGTCTAACGTAATCTCACGACCGGCAATGGCCAAGTCCTCAATCATCATCTGTGCACGACCTATGTAGTCCGACATAGAAGAATCACCCTGATGCAAGCTTTGTAACTCACCAAATAACCGCAATGCCCGAGACCGAGTATAAGAAGCGGGGGATTGTTCAATGGTGAGCCAAAGCTGGCGTGAAGTTGTTCGGCCAACTGCAAAACGCAACATCTCCCCCGAGTGAGACGAAATCAATAGCGACAGGATCGCCTTGTCCTGCCGCCGCCACGCCGCCTGCACTGTCCGCCGTCGACGCCACTTCAGTGATGGGACCGGAAACGGCACAGTGCCGTCTACGAACCCGAGGAGCCCTTGGCCTTCCAGGAACGGCAGCATCTGTGTACGCCAAAACAGATAATTCCCCGAGGTTAACTTCAGGGAAACGAAGTGATGAGCAGATGAGAAGCTATTTCCGATAGGTATGGGAGAAGTCTCGGTAATGATCCGCTCAGAAGATCGAACAGAGCCGTCATCATTAGCACCGAGAGTCTCCATGAGAGAAAACCTGGAAACTAATACCAGATGAGAATATAGATTGTATTGTATTAAATACCAAAGTCTAAGGATACAAATATAAAGACACTAAATAGGGTTCTAGTCTAGTACGAATAGCAGTGTTGCAATAATCGCGCCTAGGCGCCCGCCTAGGCGGTCCCCAGGCGCCTAGCGATTTTTGCAACCTTGACGAATAGTATAGTCCTAATAAATGTAACCCTACTTTGATCTAGTATAAGAAATGAAACTAAGATAAAGAAATTCTTTGACACGGTCAGTTTGGTTTTTAATAACTATTCCCAGTAACAATATTTCTTCTGTCTCTTTTTATTTTATGTTCTACTTACTATTCATTGGTCAAATCAATTCTTACAAGACACATAAAAAAATGAAATCTGATCTTAATGGAATAAGTTAGGTTTGATGGGCTGATAAAACTATTTATAAAAGAATCAACACGGTAAAAAAACATATTACAAGGCGTTTGGTTGGAGGGATTTTAAATTCCCTTCCCACTCAATTCCCACCTAATTCCAAAGACCATTAAATTCCGTAGTTTGGTTGGAGGGAATTGTAATTCCATGGAATTACAATTCCCCCATTTTCATGGAATTAAAATCCCATGTCCCCCCCTGGTATTTTAATTTCTGGGAAAAAAAGATAGTGATGAGTCAAAATTACCCCTTCATTTTTTAACCTAAAATTAATGTCTAACAACAATAATGGACCTTTTTGACTTTATACTACTTATTCCCTTTCAATTCCCATGTATACCAAACATTGGAATTGAAATTTCCAGTAATTTTATTCCAGTCAACCAAACACTGGAATTTAAATTCCCACTTTATTCCCAGTAATTCAACTCCCATGGAATTACAATTTCTTTCCCACATAATTCCCTCCCTCCAACCAAACGCCCTGTTAGTGATTTGAAAATGAGTTAATTAATAAAATGGTCCCTTGATTATAGCGAAATTATCAATTTGGTCATTGATTATTTTCTTGACCAATTAAGTCCATCATCAACTTTAAAAATCATAACCAATTTAGTCTTCTGGTTGTTTTGTCGTTAGATATCCATTAACTCGGGACCAAATTAGTAATTTCGCTATAATCAAGGAACCATTTCAGTAATGAACTTTTAGAGAAAATAGTGCATGTGATGATCGAAATGATCCATTGACTATAGTTAAATTACCAATTTAGTTCCGAATTAACGGATGCCTAACGACAAAATAAACGAAAGATCAAATTAATTAAGATTTTTAAAGTTGAAAGACTTAATTGGTTAAAAAATAATTAATGACCAAATCAATAATTTTGTTATAGTCAAGACACTATTTCAATAATTAACTCTTTGAAAATCATTGTAGAACTTGGTGCATACTCGTTGGAGTCGTTAAAGTCCGCATTTCCAATTTAACAAAAGAGTAACAATATTAGATTTAAAAAAATAAAAAAAAATGGAAATGTATTGTCGACATTCAAAGAATGTATGTTATGATGAAATGAGAAAGTCAAGTCAACCTCAAAGGAAATGATAACAGAACAAAGAGAAGTGGATCACCTCAACTCCAAACCACTGGAATCAATCCTTTATTTATTTATGTATTTTCACTTCACCAACTTTATTCTTTTTCTACTGCCAAAACAAAAGGATGAGAAGAAGAGGGTAGCGTGATGATTAGGCTGACTCTTTGCCCATAGATAAGAGCTGACAGAAAAGGTTAGTTTATTAGTCAATTTTAACTTATTTGATCATTATTAATTGTTTGATTTGGTTAAACAATTAACATGACTATTTGAATGATTAATTTTTTATAACAGATTATTGGTCTAACATACTAAAATTTAAAAAGTGACTCAAGAAATTTTTTTCAATAAACTTTTTTAAAAAGTCATTCATGAGATAAGTCGGGTCAATATGTAAATGTACTACTTATACTAACAAATGTAATGCCAAATATTACATTTCATCTTGACCCGACCCGTCTCACAGACAAAGATCCGTGAGGCAGTCTCTCACAAGTTTTTACCTTTTGCATATAATTATTTAGCTCAATTTTCTACAATCAACACATACTATCAACTAATCAAACCCACTAACCCAATCAGCTAACAGCTATTTACCAAATACTCCCTATATCGCACCAATCACCATAACTACCAAAGCTACAGAGCAAATAGCAGAGAATGCAGATTTTCAGCAGAGTGTAATTTAGTGGGGAAATGATGAAGAATAACAACTGGTTTATGAATTGAGGAAATGGAAATGTATAACAAATATTAAAAAAAAAAAATTGAAAAAAAGGCAACAACACTGCACAAAAATATGTCTCCCTGAATGGTTTGGTTTTCACAGTCATAAATACATAAAAACAACAGCAAATCAAAATGGAGAGAGAGAGAGGGCACGACAGAGTGGCCTAAGACGAGGAGGTGCGCTTGGCTTACTTAAATTGTTAGAGACTGGGAAGCCCATATTATCACAAGCACTTTGACTGCAGACGTTAACAAGGGAGGACCTCCTACTTCCTCTGAGGCAATTGGAAACAACAGAAAAAGGACACCAAGGAGGGTATAACAACAGCAATAGTGGTAAGTGATCCTTCGCCCCTGACGTCAAAATCACAAGATCGAGCAAGATCTCTGACCCTTTGCCTTCTTTTTCTTCCCCTTGGGTGGTGCCAGCACAACTTTGATGGCAGCATCAAACACTCCTTTCACATTCTGCAATGGCCTAACTAGATAAGCTTCACTGGAAATCAATTGAGATGATTTTGTAAAATAAAGCTAAAACAACAAACCTCCTGTGTTTTTGAACTGCATTCTATGTAGGCAGGTGCAGCAATCAATTTTTTAAGCTCCTCGCCCTTGACATTCAAACAAAGTCGAACAATTTAAAATATGGCACACTTTCAGCAACTGAACATAAGAATAGCAGTAGTCGTTACCTGAGCAGTGGTAATTGGCACAGCACCAGGATGGTCTACAAAGAATTGGTTATCATCCCGAAGATCTGAGTCCATTATAATTGATTGACAAGAAACAATTAGCAGTCTATTCTCGAGCACAGGAGACTTAGAACACCATCAAGATATTGGAACCAATGATACTAGATCGCACAAGCAGAGAGAACTAGAAGACAATTCTCTCTAGTCTAAAGGACACAAATGACATGATTAAACCCATTTAAGTTGATGTGCAATCCTGGTAACTAACAGTCTAAACTGCAATAGTTTCAAAATCATAAACAAGGTAGAGACATCATTCTCACCAAGTTTTGTTCCAACAAGAACAATTGGGACACCAGGGGCATAATGCTTCAACTCAGGAATCCACTGGCAAGAGATTCATCAAACCATAAATAATTTCCGATTAAGTAACACCAAAATGAAAAAAAAAAAATGGTACTATAACAGCCATCAACTCCTTACCTTTTTAGAAACATTTTCATAGCTGGCCTTACTAATGAGAGAAAATGCCAAAATGAAAACATCAGCTCCACGGTAACTCAAAGGTCTTAGTCTGTTGTAATCCTCCTGTCCTGTTTATGCATAACAAACACAGATTCGTAGTGGTGAGATACATGTAAACACACAAATGTATAAGAATGCACACAAGTATATGTACCCCAAATCTCTTAATAGCAATAGAATACAATGGGATTTGAAATGGTTACCTGCAGTATCCCATAACCCAAGGTTAACGGTAGCCCCATTGACAACCACATTTGCACTGAAATTGTCAAACACAGTTGGGACATAATCCTGTTGCACATTATGAACAGAGAAGAAATTACAATTTGGCCAGAATCTGAACCCTTTCCATGCAAGTCTTATACAACATACATTAAAATCAGAGGAAAAACTTCCAAAAGTTCCTTTTATAACGGAAGAAAAAGATTTAATGTTAGTAATTGGATATATAAACAACAACTTTCCAAAAACTCAGAATAATGTTGCACATCTGAGCCACTGGGAGTATTAAAAAGCATATCAAACGAGAGGCGGATACGCAATACTAAAGCTCACATTGGAAGTAAAACAGGATTCTGGAAAGCTTACAAAAACGAAAAATTAAACAAACTGAGGAAGAAAGAGGATGAACCGTGGGGAAAGTGTTGCTGGTGTAGGAAATCAAGAGGCAGGTCTTGCCAACGGCACCATCGCCCACCGTGACGCACTTGATGAACCTGGACGCGCTCATCCTGAAAGCCTCAGATCTTCTTCTACCACCTCAGAAGACCTGAACCGAATTCAAAATGTACCTATTTTTTCACACGTAATTCCGACGCACATACGCCTCTGAAACCTCTCCAATCCCTGGCGAACAGCTCAAGCACCAAAAAAACACGCAACAAACATACAAACCAGCGAGCGAGCCTCCGAGAGAGCAACCCTAACCCTAGTTTCCGGAGACAACAGAGCGCGATGTTGAAGAAGAGAAATGGCGGAATCGGGGGATGACGGGGAAGAGTAGAGCTGGGATCCGAGATCTAGAGAGAGAAAGTAAGGAGGGGTGGGTGTTGGCCGGGAAATAATGCCGTTGAAGCGTTGGAAGAGGGAGGAGCTAACGGACGAGCGAGAGAGGCGGCCGTCCAACCAATATCCGTCCACGTCTACCCTGCCAGCCAATCAAGCCGTACTGTTAATGGCTCTGATTGGATAGTTCTCCGCGCTTTTCCCGCAACGTAAAAATTTGTGGGCCTCATTTGCCTCCTCTTTTTTAAATTTTAGTTGCTCAATCCTTTCCAACACAACAACCCATGCAACTTTTCTTTTTCTTTTCTTTTTTTTTTTTTCAAAAATTCAAATTCGAATTTTATTTGAACATTTATTTGGTCACTATCACACATATGTATTCAAATATTCAATATGCATATATATACATACATATTCCCCTTCCCCACAAACAGGATCTTATTAGATAGACTAAAAGTTGTACCAAATTTTATACTCCGGGCTAACTTAAGAATCACACTTCACTCATTTAATATCTCCCGTGCTTAAAAGAGTCTGTTTCGAATTAATTAATGTAACATGTCATATCATTATCTAGCAAAATTTTTGAAGAAATATTTTACGAATAAGAGTCAAATAGACAATCAAACTGGGCAAATAATGCAATTATGCCACTGAACCTTTAAAAAAATTACAATTGAATCCCTCCCTAACTAGCTAATTTTATGAATTAGTCCAATTTACAGGTTCTGTAAGTTTCTAGCAGGTCACCCCAAATATAAAATGTTTATTATTCAAACATTATTTCATAGGAAGAAAAGGATATTATGTGTATACCTAATCCAATTACAAGGTTGACTAGAACAATACAGAATTTGATGAGCACCACTAATGAAGATTACATCCAAAACATATGCAAGAATCAGAACACAAATATTTGAAGAGATTTGAGATGCATTCTGGAGAGTCACTCTACATCAGTGCAGCCTGTTGAGGTTGTCCCTCATTCAGAAAGGAGTTGAGACAGAAGGCAAATCATCCAACCTTCATAGTATCTGATTTGCGGATAGATTAGGATTTGCAGAATGCGTGAAGAGTTTCATCGAGGGCCTTTTTGTCATAGTCGCCAGTGAATACACAGTTGCCGAGTGGACCTTTCAAAAGGATGAGTCTAAGCCTCCCATCAGCCACTTTCTTATCGACCTGCCATTTAAAGCTTATGTAAGCTGAAGAACTAGGAGAAGAAGTGGTTGCATGAATCCACTTCATTTGACCCGCTGTTTTAAGCATCTAGGATAATCAAAATATGACGCTAATAGTTATGTGTTCACAAATGTTGTTCAAGCAATATAATTTTGAATTTTCTTACTGCCATGATAGACTTGAACATCTCGACAGTCATGGTTTTTGGTGGTGCATTGGGCAACTTTGCCTCTTTAAGGATATTACCAACACGCTGTGCTAATAAGTCGTCAATCCATCCTAAGCGATGTGACATATCAACAGCCATAACCTGAAATAATTATCATTAAATATTAGTTAGCATAAATTTCACAAATTTGGGACTAAAGAGTGACCCAGCCCCACTTCTGAACTCTCTCTTTTTGGTCCCCCCCTTGTTCAAGTTGGGCACTATGTGGAGATATTGGGAGTTAGTCATTGATTGAGGAAAGGGGTACCAAAACAGTTTAATAGGTCGCCAGAATCAATAAAGGCAATTAGTGAATGCCCATATTCTCGTGGATATGTGCAAGAATAAAACACAAAAGATACCGTTCCAGCTGCGACAGCTTCTCCATGTAGCCATTGACCATAGCCAAAACCAGTTTCTATTGCCTACAAATGGAAATAATGGAAGTATCACAATGCTGTGAAAATACAAGTTCTTGCAAAGACTAGATGGGTTCAACTTTGCAAGTTAGATACTTGGGTAGCAGAGGACTATTAAAATGATTTGAGAAAAGAGTGTAAGCTATCTCCTCAGTGAAAGAACAGAGAAATTTTCAAGCAGGGATCATGCTTGATATATGAATAGCGTCAACCAAAAACATTAAGCGGAAAAGATGTAGCACAAAAGTAGTTGAGGAGACAATGGCAAGCCAAGCCCTTTCTAAAAAATATAGTATCACAATAATAATACCAAAAGCCTTACATGGCCAAAGGTGTGACCCAAGTTCAGTGTTGCCCTTAATCCACTTTCCTTTTCATCCAAGGACACCACCTCAGCCTTGTTTTCACAGGAACGTTTGATAGCGTAAGCAAATGCACTTGGGTCCCTGCAAGAACACCTCTTTCAATTACAATTGAAATTTCCATCAAATATTCAACTTTCAGCAGGCTTGGCTATGTTTGACCAGATCTGTGAAGAAGCATCGAGTTCATCCAACAACTTCGGCTTCAAATTTATAAAACAGTCCGCGATCCAAGTTTTCTATAATATTGCTAGGAAATTTGTTTTTATGTCTTGACTATAAAGAATGCACTGTCATTCTAATGATCTGTATTGTAAACATTTCTGTTTATGATTAATGAATTAGCCTTTTATTTAAAAAAAAAAATCATTCATTTCAAGAACAATTCATTTATAATCGCTGATAAACAAAGCAATCATAGAAGTCAAGCATGTAGGCAATAGGAAGCTGAGAGGAAAATACATGACTATAATTTTTACCTTGCTAGCAAAGATGGCATATTCTTCTCTTGCCACTCAAAAAATTCAGCATCTCTAATAAGTCCATATTTTATAACCTCAGCAAGACCAGAAGCTAATTCTCTGTCTGGTAGAGTTTTCAAAGTATCCGTGTCTACAAGCACACATTGGGGTTGGTAGAATGCACCGATCATATTTTTACCAAGTGGGTGGTTAATGCCAGTTTTTCCACCAACTGAAGAATCTACCTAAATGCAATGAAAGAACAAGAAATAAAAATTATTTGATGTCACGAGAGTGCATATCCTTTTTCTTCAGTCCCGTATGAAATTACACTGCAAAACTCTAAACTCAACCAACCTGTGCCATAACAGTTGTAGGAATCTGAATGAAATTGACTCCTCGAAGGTATGAAGCAGCAGCATACCCACACATATCACCAATTACTCCACCACCAAGGGCAACAAAAGTACATCGCCTATCCAATCGTGATTCAATCGATTTATCAAAGATTTTCATGAGATTTTCCTATAATGGCATAACCACAAATCAGCGAAAACTATTAACCATCTTTTTTTTTTTTCTCTTGAATTTCATTCTATTAAGGCCTCAAGATGCGTACCATGTTCTTAAACTGCTCTCCATCTGGCAAAATCACACTTTCAACACTAACATTAGGATTCCCATCTGTTAAAGCACTAATAGTTTTATCCAAATACAATGGAGCAATGGTTGTGTTTGTCACAACAAGAACTCTCTTTCCATGAATATGCCTACAATAAAGAAAACTTTTCATGATTTTAGAATACATAAAAGAACTCTAAAGAAATAAGTAAATGATGGATGAACTACAACATGATAAAAGTTAATTCGATTCTGTAACTTCAGTGTTATGCTAAGGCAATAAGCATAGCAGCTAGGAAATTGGCAAAAATATTCCCAGCTAAGTAATTCAGTTATAACGAAGTGGCCCTAATACTGAAGATGTTCTACAAATTGTAAGGAAATAAAATGAGGGCGGGAAGGAATCGAAATGACCTTTGAAGGAGCTCAGGTTGATCAAGGAGTCCAGACCCGATGTAAATCGGGTAGCTCCGGTTACCCAAATCAACCTCAACGACCGTGGGTGCCCGGGACGCAGCTCTACTAGGCGACTGATCCACCGCCGGAGCTGGGGAGCTGGCACTGACTTTCAGTCGGGTGGCAGACTCTAAACGCCGCCGTGAATGAAAAGCATTGCAGGCAGGAAAGCGCACGGGGCAATCACGCAGGGTGGATTTGGTGGAGCTTGAAAGAAAGAGGGCATTTTTGGGTGAACAGAAAGAGGAAGCCATGAGAACCCAGAAAGAAGTTGGCGCTGAAATATTGTTAAATTAAATCAAGTGTACGGGGTGGGTGCGGGGACGTATCCCGCACCCGCATTTCTAACCCATTTTCCGTACTCGCACCCGCACTCGTGCGGGTAATAAAATTCTTCTTCCATATCCGCTCCGCAGGGATTTTGCTGCGAGTAATACCCAACCCTCAACTATAATTATTTATATTACACTTAAATCTAATAAAAATTTTATACTACAATTGTAATTATCACATTGATTTTTTTATAAGTTTGAACATAACTCTAAAATTTAATAAGAGCCAATGAAGTTAGTTCTTAATTGGAACTAAAATTGTGTTGATAGTATAAATTGTATTAAGTGTTTACTCATTATGTTATTTGTGTTGTTCCTATTCAAATTTCATAAACAAAAAACTAAGAAGTTTAATTCATTATTCATTTTCAATTATAAAATATACATAAACTTATATAATAAATGAATACTAATAACAATATATATAAGTGCGGGTGCGGGGCGGGGATACCTCCCCCCACACCCACCCCCATACCCGTGCGGGTATATAAATTTCCCCCATATCTGCACCCATTACCCAAATTGTACGGGTATTTTAATACCCGTAAAGACGGGAATGCGGGGAACCCGTTGAGTGTGGGTAGAATTGTCATCCCTAGTTAATATTGTTAGGTCGATGGGAGAAACTCAGAATGGGGTAGGTGAAGGTGGGAAAAGAGTAAACCAAACAATTTAGTGATTATTTTATTATTTATAGTTGGTAGTAGTCCGGGAAAATTGGTTATATGGGATTTAAATGAGTAGCAATAGTGTAATTAGGCTTTTAAACAAAAAATTATTGAGTTATTAAACTCTTAAATTTAAAAAAATGAAAATAGTACTTAACATGTTAGATATTATAAGAAAAAAGATTGTCCAATTGGAAATCAACAAATTTCTTTTCAGGTGTGTCCGCAGTGACACAACTTCAAACAAGTTGACTTATACATCTTCTCCGTTTAATAAATTTACGATTTCTTCGAGTTATTGTGCCATTATAGGTGATAGGGATGATGGGCAAGACCCTTGATGGATTTTGGAAGCTCAAGTGTATCGAGAGGATCAATCTTTTGTTTGGCTAATTATGAAAGGGAAACTCCTCACTAGCCAAGATCGAACATAGATAGAGCTTGGTAGAGAGCGGCGAGTGCCCGAGGTGCCACCACGAATATGAATCCCTTCGAAATATGTTTATCAATTCTTATTTTGCTAAAGATGGTTGGTCTAGATGTCTTAACCTTGTTCATGTTCAATAGACCCCGGTGAGAGGCATAGCGTCATAGGTTAAGATCAACTGCTTGGGCACAGATCGTTGTGGGATCGAATCAACTGGAACACTAAATTCCCTTACATGCTTTTGGAATATATTGGAAGCATGGAATGACTGGGTGTTTAATGGAAAGTTTAAATGGGCAACTAAGGTGGTGGAGATGACTACTAGATTGGCGGATGAGGCAAGTAGGCTTCTTAGGAACATTGTTGTGGTGGTGGGAAGTAGTATTTGTTGGGCGGGTTGGACCCCAGGGAGGTTGGGTGAAATTGAATATAGACATGAGTACATGACAAGGAAAGCTAATTACGGTCTGACTAGTTCGGAATGATTGATCAAAGATCATAATGGCAACTAAGTTGTTAATTTCATTGTCAAAATTGGGCTAACTACGAACTTTTTAGGCTAAACTTTGGGAGCAAATTATGTTGTGCATCCGTATGCACCATGCATGGTGCATACGAATGCAAAAACAACGTCGTTTTAATAAAACGCGCGTCTCCCCTTAAAAAAAACGAACCTGAATTTTTTTAAAGGGGAGACACGCGTTTTTTAATAAAACGACGTCATTTTGGCATCCGTATACACCATGCACCATGCATGGTGCATACGGATGCACAGCATAACGATTGAACTTTGGGGCCTAGTGGGTATTGTCTCATGGATGAGAGGAGTTTCAACAAAGTTTTTTTCTTTAAAAAAAAATATTTTAAATAATTATTTTTAAAAAATATTTAAAATTTGGGATAACCAGTAACTTGAAAAATTCATAGATGACCTATTTCATTCTTATTAAAAAAAAAATAAAAAATTGCAGAAGTCAGAAGCTTATGTAGTACGCCATACCGCTATATAGAATCACCCGGAATTTCGTGTTAAAATACCCGCGTTTTCCCCCCAAACCAATTCTCCGTCGTCCACCTCTGACATCTGGTTTCTCATCACTTCACAGTTCACAGCCTAGGGTTCAGGCGGAATCACTGTCCCTGTTGCCGCATAGATTTCAGTTTCCGGCGGAGATGGGGAAGGGCAAGAGGAGCGCCGCCATTGTCATTTCATCATCCGACAATGACGAAGAAGGAGACCTTTTATTGAAATCGAATCTCCGCAACTCGAAGCTGAAATCGAATTCGAAGTCGAAGTCGGCGTCTGTTCCGAGAAGGAACCCTAAGAGAGCGAAGAAAGCCCCGCTTTCGAGTTCGCTTCCGCGTCACTCCCAAAATCACAGTGGGTTCGACGAGGTGAGCTTCGGCATTCGACCACTTCCCATTTCCTTTTAACTTCTGCTTATACGTTTTGGCTATTAGTATGAAATCAATGCATTGTAGTACTTCATTTAACTGGAATGAGCGCAAACGTTAGGTGAAGAAGTGCAGAAATACAATCTGGTCAGCTCATTCCCCCGATAGCTTTCCTTGACAACTTGTTTAGCATGCTGTAAATGCTCTGCTACATTATGTGGTGGTCATGCTCTGCTGCTCTTGTGTTTGTATTGACCTTTTTGCCTTACATTGATAGTGCCGGGATTCTGTGAGGTGACAGTCATAGAGGGATTTAATTATTGGGATCATTGTTTATGTTTTTGCTTAACCTTCTGTTCATAAATTGTGATAATGCTGAATGCAGATAAAAAGGTTTTGTGAAGAATTTGACATGGGGTTCAATGAGTTCAAGGTATCTACTGGTATGCTAATTTAGATCTTCAGCATTAATATCTGTTTGTTGCATTTGATCTTTTTATTTAGCAGACCTTTTGAGAGAGAGAGAAAGCATAATATATAATAATAATAGCAAATATAATGCTCATCTTTTAACACTTTCAGTATACTTTCACCCATGCCTAGTTCTCTTGCATAACTTTCTTTAACACTTCCAGTTCTGATTCTCTATTTCTCTTAATCTTTTACAACCCCTTTAAGTTCCATAGTTTGTCAACTAAAGATTAAATAATATAAAAATGGAGTAGGTCATGATAGCAGCACTGACTTGTGGGTTGATAAATACAAGCCTTGTTCTCTGGAAGAGGTTGCTGTTCACAAGAAGAAGGTATGGACTGTTCGAATTCTACAGTATCTACTTTTGATTGTTTTAACTGACACACTTTACTTATTTTTCTCTAGCTAAAACACTTCTGATCTTGCAGGTTGAAGAGGTCAAAACATGGTTTGAGGAGAGACTGATAACTAGAATGGTACTGATGTCATTATGAAAGAGGCAAACATGACTTGCATTTCATTCAGTTTGTGTCTTTTCCTGGACTTAATGTTTCATATAACTTAATCTGTTTTAGTTAACATCATACTAGACCATTAGTCCTACATTGGATGACATTCAGCATAGGGTAAATAATATTGTATCGTCAGTTCTGTTTTTTAGCCATACATTTATGTTTGATTGAAAAACTTGATGCCATGAGACATGTGAATATTTGATGCTTTCTGATGGATTTTGAATAATGTTTATAAAACTTTTTGTACTTGCCTGCTTCTGGACATTGTGACTGTTGTGCCTCTTGAGATCTAATATTGCTATATACTGGGTGCAGGATAGTTCCTTTAATAATGTTCTTCTAATTGCTGGACCTGCTGGAGTTGGAAAATCTGTAAGTTTTTTTATATTTATGAATCATTTTTGCTGCATTTGAAATTATCTCTTGATCTTTCCACTCACATGAATATGGATTGCTGTTTGACATCTCAAAGGCAACTGTTCATGCTATTGCATTACATCTTGGAGCCACTATTTGTGAATGGAATACTCCCACTCCGACGATTTGGAAAGAACATTTGCATCATTCCAACTCAGGTATTTTGCACCTGTACTTTATATTCACACAACCATTGGCATTGCACATAATACTCGTTTATGAATGCCTGCAAGAAGAGACATCTGTACATTCTCGTCTTTATTCTGGTTAGTGTGTAGTTAATAGTTATTCATTTGGTTATTTTCACAGAATGAAATTGAATCATGTCATTATCTGTCATTTATGAATGCCCGCAAGAGGAGGCACCAGTAAATTCTGTTTCTTCTTGTGTGTGTGTAGTTTACATTTGGGAATTGCCATGGTTTAATATGGAATTATGTTTCTCCTCATGTGTGGTGTGTAGCCACTATCTTTTGTAATGATTGTAATTTCATTGATTTGATCTAGGCCTACGGTACATGTCCAAGCTGGAAGAGTTTGAAAGTTTTGCTGAAAGGACGAGAAAGTATGGATTAATTTCCTCATCTGTAACTGGACGACCACTAGCACCAGTTATACTCTTAATTGATGATCTTCCAGTTGTAAATGGAAAAGTTGCTTATGAAAGGCTTAATAGGTGCTTAACTCTTCTTGTGCAATCAGTTCGTATTCCGACAGCCATATTGTTCACAGAATATAGCAAGGTTGACTCTGCAGACTTCAACATGCGCTACCCAGAGGAACTCCTTCAGTCTCTTGAATATGCTGGAGCTTGTAAGGTTGCATTCCTTAAACTATTTAAGATGCAGCTTAATTCCTTCTAGTCTGTTGGTTTTTAACTAAACTGTAGAAAATTTCAGGTCACCTTCAATCCAATAACAGTCAATTCTATGAAAAAAGTTCTTGCAAAAATATGCCGAATGGAACAGGTTGAAGTTAGTGCTGATTCAATTGAAGCAATAGCAAAAGCAAGCGGAGGTGATATGAGGAATGCAATTACATCTTTACAGTATTTCTGCTTGAACCAGCATCCAATGCCTTCTCTACCTTCCTCCAGTTGTTACTCTGTTCCTTCAAAAGGAAGCTCAGATGATGTCAGTACTTCAGATGATCGGATTTCTTTGACATTTGGGAGAGATGAAACCCTTTCTTTATTTCATGCATTGGGGAAATTTCTACACAACAAAAGAGAGAGTGAAGATACTGGTGCATCAGGTATGATAAATGAATTTTATATTGGCTAATGGTTTTTCAAGTTTAAATGGGGCTCTGACTTCTGAGGATATTGACTTCATTACCCAGTCTAAAGGAATAATAAATTTTCCTTCTTTTTATCTTTTATTTGTTAAGTAGTATATTTAGAAAACCTTTTCTCCCTACATGCATGCTTTGATTGCCTTCAGAAAGTGTAAGTTTCAGAAAAATGTAAATCAATGGTAAAGTTTATCTGAAGTACAGTGTAACTAAATATGGCTGAAGTCAGGACCTGTAAATGCACTTTAGAAGCCTTTTATTGGTTGACATGGAATTTTCATTCTCTTCATTTATACCAAGGAATAAAGATGAAACCATTCCCAATACATAATTACAGTTGTTGGAGTTTGCAAACTGCAGATGAACTTTTTTTGACTACTTGCAGTGATGAACTAATTTAGACATTGCTGCAAAAGCTTGCAGTTACAGATCCTCCTTTCACTT